TAAAATGTTAGTTGCCTTGGATAGTTTTAGAAAGAAGACACATGGTGTACATAACCATGCATGTCTAGTCCATTCAGAAGAAATGTGTGACAAACAAGTAAAATTTCATTGTAATCTGTTGGGACTTTGTTCCATTTAGGAGAAATTACAATAATATCAAAGAACAAAATCTTATTAAGCCATCCCATTTTCTATCAATCACTGCTTCCATGATAATAAACTAAGAAATCTTTTGATTCTAGGTTTCAAATATGTAACAGTGTTGTGCACTCTCCTTCTACCTTTCCTACACTCATACTTCTCAAGTCAGCCTACTAAGTAATACGATGTCAGAAAGAGGAACAAGATCTTACATAGACATTGGGAATATAACAGATGATTCCATCCAATCCTAATGACTTAGTTAGTTGCTTATAGAAAACAAGATTGAGACTCAGGAAGTTTAATTCATTATTTCAAGAACCCAAGAAGCCAAAAACCTGAGCTCACACATGAGAGATGAACACAGAAAAGCAATATAGTCAAGAGGTTAGGACATTCAGGGGACCATGGTGGGAAGGACACACTTAGGAGCAGCTTGCATTGGTGTGACCTTACACAGTGGCCAAGAGAACTCGGGAGGCACTTGTTCTCTACTCTAGAACAGCTTGCTGCCTTGAGCAGCTGGGTGGAGAGTGAGTGGAAGCAGGCTAGACCCTGGAAGGACTGTTGGATTGGGTACCAGTTTGCAGAAAACAGTGTCTAGAATGTCAGAACAATTCAATATAGAAGTGTTGGTTTATTGAACAGAAGGCTCCTCCATAATTTGATCCTGAAAACTAGAGAGACATGTGAGGCTTCCATTGTCATCATTACCTGAGCAGGTATCAACCAAGAGCTAGCTTTGTGAAACAGGACAACACCCTGTAAGTAAAGCAAGTGGCTGCTCTTTCTTTCATTACAAACAGGAGGGTCAGTAAGTACCCCAGCTCACCTAGAGGGCAGTGCTACAGCCTGTACTGGAGCCTGGCTGAGCTACAGAGCCTGTGTCCGGCAAAGCAATCTACTTCCCTGACTAGATCTGTGTCATGTGACCCACAGGAAATAGAGTCCAGCATTAAGGAGACATGGGACAGAATGAGTTTTAAAAAAAAAGTGTGCGTGTGTGTGTGTGTGTGTCAAATTCTAGCCTTGCTCTCAGGAAAGGACGATGATGACAACAATTCATTGTCTTGGGGTTGCTACAGTTATGATAAACAACATGCATGCCAAGGCCTGGCATGGTGATTCATGCCATTAATCCCTGCACTCAGGAAGCAGGGGTAGGCAGAACTCCTAACCTACTCTACAAAGAGAAGTTAGGGGCTAGCCAAGGCTACATAGTGAGACCCTGTCTCAAATACAAACAGTGCTGCTTGCTGGCTTGTTTTATATGACTTGCTGAGTTAGTTTTCTTAATATACTCTAGTAGAACCTGCCTGGGTTTTAAACCACTCATAACAGGCTGTGGCCTCCCATATCAATCACTGAAATGCCTCAGAAGGCGTGCTTATAGGCTGACCTCCTAGAGGTGTCTTCTCCACTGAGGCTCCCTCCTCTCAGATGATTCTAGCTTGTGTCAAACTGACAGAACAGCCTAGCCAGCACATTTGACCCCTTGTCAACCTGACCCACAAAGACATCACTGTTGAACCACAATCTTTCCTTTCTCATTGTCCTTAAGATATCACACTGATATTAGTACCATAATATAAAACATTCTAACTTTTGAAGTTCCACCTTCTTTTAAAATTCACTTTCTTTTACAATTCAAACACTTTAAATATTCACTCTCTTTAAAACATCCAAAGTCTCTTTCAAAGTTCCAAGTTTCTCTGAAAAATACAAAAAGCCTCTTGGGGGCTTCTATAAAATAATAACAAAAATTTACATATTTCTTACTCCAAGAGGAAAGAAACAGGAAACAGTCACAGTGAAATCAAAGCAAAACTAAACTCCAACAGCATAATGACTGATGCCTGGAACTCATGACCTTCTGGGCACCAAAGGACCTAGACAGCTCCACTTTGCTGGCTCTGCCAAACACAACACAGGCACCTTGCCTTGTAGGTTCAGGCTGGCTCCACTACAAAACTTGGTGGTTGACCCATAGTACTGGTTCATCCAATATTCTGGAGTCTCCACTGCAACTGGGCTGCACCTGCTTCACCAATAGTCTCCCTAGGGTTTTTAAAATGTACTTTCTCTAGATAAGGTGCCAAACAAACCTCAACTCCTAGCAGTCCTGGAGCTTTTAACTGTAACAGAGGCTGCACATTCACCAGTCTAAACCCCAACTGTCCTTCACGACTCTTTGCCTTTGAAAACAGTATTACCTGGGAGTCTTTTACACAAGTGCCTAGGTCAGCACAAGGTCAGTGCCAGCCTGCTCTGGACCACAGCCTCTTTTTGCAGACCCAGGAGACCCTTTCCAGGGAGTTTTCCTCAATAATTCTGGTCTCAGCTTAACCACAGCTGACTGATTCTTCAGCCTCCATCCAACAAGTATAGACTGGACCACTAAAGCAATGGTTTCATTTTAGTGGTTCTGGTCTCTTTTTAATCATAATAATTCTTTGGCTCCAGTGGACGTCACTCATGGATTCTTAACCCAAAAATCACATAGAGGGCCCCGACAGAGCCTGTGTGCCACTGAAGCGTTACAGGTAGGCCTCTATGGTCTACACCGCTCTCAGCATTACCTTTCACGTTTCCACAGCAGCACTTCGTTAAGCTGTGCGCACTCGGTGGCTCTTCCAGCCCAGTTCCAAAATTCTCCCCATGATAGGTTAGGTTTGTCAAAGCAATACCCAGTACCAACTTCTGTCTTAGTTATGGATCCTATTGCTGTTACAAAACACCATGACCAAAAGCAACATGACCAGGAAGGGCTTTATTTCAGCTTAAAACTCATACTCCATCACTGATGGAAGTCAGACTGGGAAATCAAGTTAGGAACCTGGAGGCTGGGACTGAAGCAGATGCTGCTTACTGGCTTGCTCCGTGTCGCTTGCTCAGTCACTCTCCTATTACAACTCAGGACTACCTGCCCAGGGATGGCAACTGTGCCTCCACCAGGGGCTGGGCCTACCAACAGCAATCATTAATCAAGAAAATCAATTACAAAGTTGCCTATAGGGAATACGTTGGAAGCATTCTCTCATATAAAAAGGTTCCTTTTCTCATATAACTTTTTTTTGTCAAGTTGACAAAAATAAAACAAAAACAAAACACCTCAAACCAAAATCAATTAACCAATCAAACAAAAAACCTAACCAAGACACTCATTTATTTTTGGAACACATATTCCATAAAAATCACATTTTCAAGCTAAGATATTTGTCTTATAACAATTATGCTGAACACAGTGGAACTGTCTGTCTCCCTCATCCTACCACTCATCGCTCTCAACAGTAGCTAGAGTAGTTGATAGAGCATCTTGTTTAAAACCTTGTCTCTTCTGTTGCTCCTTGGAGGGGGACCTGTCTCATATCGTTATTGTGTTCTATTGCAGCTGACTTGGCCTTCTTCTTGCCCTACCAATTTATTGCTTGCCAGCTGCACTTGGACATTTCTGTTAACACTCTCTTCTAGATAGTCCCCATGGGAAGTCATACACAGACAAGTGAGCACAACTACTATAGTGCTGTGTGAAATTAATGGTTACTGACAATTTGAAATTCACGTCATTTCTCCATTTTCTTTATGACTTTGCTGCTGTTCAGCAGACAGAGATTGTTAAGTTGTCACCATTAACTGTTCTGGCTCCTACCTCTTCTTTTCCACTCCTCAGGAAGTATGCTAGGAAAACAGAAGTGATTTATCTAGCTCAGGAGATGCAGGGGTCACCCCATTGCACCTCCCCAGGATCATCATCACTGGTTAAGAATCCATGTGTCATCAGATGGCTAGACCCTCCCATCAGATTGACACACTTTCTGTCAGAGTGTGGGGGCAGAGAGAATTCATAACATTCAGAAAAAGGGACAGTTCCCAACTACATTGGCTTGACATGTCATCAAAAGCAAGAGAAATATCCAAGATGCTGGCGACACTGTGGGAAACCATGCTGCCAACAAAAGCAGCTTGGCACAGAGCAGGCACTTAACAAACACTTTTTGGATAAACTTGAATAAATATCGCTGGATACACAATCACAGTAAAAGAAAAAGGAATGATGGATAGTGTTTTAGTACAAATAGAATTTGTTTATTATATGGATATTTCAAGGTAAGCAAAACATGGTATGAGTTTTTATTAATACTGTATTTTTCTTAGAATTTGATGAAACTCTTTAAGTCAAAATTTCTGTGTAACATACTCTCTTTATTTCACTAAAAATGTGTAAAGTAAAAGATCAATCTTAGACATTTAAAATCCCTGGAAGTATCAAAAATGGATACCTCTTTGAATTTCTTAAACCAAACACATGGCTAATATTAAAGTGTTCACTATCACTCACTATTTATGGTGATTGGCCACACTGGTTAAATTGGACAACAAAAGTTTTAACATAAAGGCAATACTTATTTCAAAAACAGGTTGTAAAAAAAGGCTGGTTGTATGAATACGCATAGCATATAGCATAGAAACACATCTTAGAACAAATTTTTCAATCCTATGCGATAACAAAAGTCCATTTTTTTTTTTGCAAGCTAGCCTACAGAGCATAATGGTAAAAATGGCCTCAAGCACAGGCTGAATCACATGTAAATAAAAAGCCAAAGAGAAAATCCACATCAGAGCCGGAGGCCACCAAGGCAGGACCTGAGAGGGAACTTTTGTTTTACACAACAGTGCCACTCAGTGGCCAAACTATGGTAGTGGATCTATATGCTGGTAAGACCAGAAAAAAGGGGAAGAGGGTTGTGACACTAAGAGGTCTAGGTGGGGTGGCGCAGCAAATGCCAACCAACAAGAGAGAAAGAGGGAGGGAGCGATGGAGGGGAGGAGCACGAGGAAGCATGTTGTAGCAACTGTACCTTGGGGGTCAGTTAGAGCCTGGACAGGAGCAGAAAGCCGAGCGCCGCTTCCTGTAACTACATCGCCTGGATTTCATAAGAGAAAAATAGTTAGATATCATGAAAGGATGATAGAGAACCTTTTGTCTTTCACATTCAATTTTATAATAATTTTATCAAATCACTAAAAACATAGAACAGGAAATACAGTGGAAGCTTAGAAAACATGAGCTATTTTAAAGGAAATCATTTCATTGACAGAGTGTCTCCTATGAGAGTCTCTTCTACTTTTGCAGAAAGAAAAGCACACTGTAGGAAACCTCAACCATCAAAAGATTTTCCTGAGTTGATTTCACGATAAAACAAATATTCGTGTGATTTTATATATTTTTTTAAAAAGACTTATTCAAACGGACTTACAGGTATTCTTTTGAAATTGCTTTTTTCCTATATCCAGAAATACTTTAAACTGAACTTTGAAGATAATTCCTAAGACCTAAGGAAGCTCCAATTTGATGCTAGCCAGGGAAAAAGATTTCCAAGCTCACTACATGCATTTACAAATGCATCTGTGAACTGAATACCTTTAACTTGGCATCCTTTTATAGGCAATATTTCATTACAAATTGGAGCCACAGTAAATGCTTATAAGAAAGTAGTGCTCAAATAAAAAAGAAACAGTTTTAAATACAGAAAGGAGATAAGGATGGGGAGGGCACATTTTAATAACCCTGACAAGAAAGGAAAGGGGTGCAGAACAAGATGCCCCCAGAGGGGAGGCACAGACGCTGGACTTCACACTCTTGTTTCTTTCTGGGGTGTCAGTGTCCAACAATAAGCACAGTCACCGTCATCAGAATAATGCGCTGGAGATAGCGGTGTCTGAAGGCTATTTGGAAGTTACAAGCAAAAGAAATGAAGTCTTTAAAAGGCACCCGGTTTCCCAGGTATAATCTATGATTAACAAGCTTGCTGCTTTAGTTTTTCTAGAACACACACACCTCTACTATATATGCATTTACTAATATGTAAAAATTACTAATTAATATACCATACACTATATAATTTATTAATCAATATATATAATGTTAGCATATTAGCAAAAATTGACTTTTAAATTAAATAACACCCCTCAGTGTTCTGGCCACTTAGTACACTGTGATTTGTAGGATGGTCAGTCATATGGGGTCATTACATCATTTTTATCAACAAAAAGAATACACAAATGTTTTCCTATAACCCAAATAAAATTTGTTGATAGGAACATATCCCAAAGAAGTGCTTAAAAGTAGAAATGGTAGCAACCTGCATTTTCATAATACAGTTAACTAAATTGATTGATAGATGGTGGGCCTAATTTTCAAATTTATACCAGCTACCCAATTTTGCTATAAAGATTTTCAAGATCTCTTACAGTCTATGTAGGCATGGAAGACTCATTTTTAATATCAATATTACTAACAGGTGAGGGAATAGCTCTACTGACTTTGTTTCTATTGTGGATACACAAACTACACAATGAACTTTTAAGTTACACATGCATGAATCTGGGTGACATGACACCCCCCTTTACAATTGCAGATAACTATGACCTATAAAAGCCATAATGTTTTCATCTTCACAGACAAGCTCATTATCTCTCATCAAAGGCATGAGGTGGATGTCTCTGTACAGCATGAGACTCCAGACAGTTTGCTGTGTCCAAGAGCTGTCAGTGGAGACAGAAAGCAGAGTGTCTATGGGAAACGAGCTCAAGGGCCAGCGTGGGGGACCCTTCAGTGTAATGTCACCAGAGCAGCACAGGTGTCTGAGCTCGCAGACTCCCGAGGCATGAGTGCTCAACTATTGCTTTAGGTTGTTTAGGGTTTACCAGAAGGGGAATAGAGGCAAACAGCTCCTTTCTATCTCTGTAAATGGTTCTTTTGAGTCTTTATTCAATCTTTTATGTAACTGGGAACACTAGCAGGGATTTTTGCTGTGAAAATAGAATGTCGACAAGTTTTTTTTGGGGGGGGGGGGTGGGGTGGGTGGGTGTTGATACTAATGAGCCAGAAATAAACTAGAAGAGTTTGTTTAAAAACAAAACAGCAGAACAAAACACAAGGGCAATTCCTTTAGGACAGGATCAGTTACAAACGCTTCAGTGGCATTCACGTTCCAATATGGCGCCGACACTGTTGTCTCCTTGCAGCTGGGGGATTACTTTTCACCAATTGTCCCATCTCCATGCACTTCCTCTCTCACTTATGTGATATTAATACTTGACATTTCCTTAGAGAGACAACTTTATATTTCTACAGTCATTTGGCTTGGTTTCTCAGAAAATTTAAGCTAAAGCATTAAGAGATTCTCTGACTCATTTGCCTGCCATCAGTTAGAATTACAACAGACTAAAGCTTGTTATCAAAGCAATATTGAGATCATATTTGTTTAGAACAATAAAACAGTACAATTAAGAGATATATAAAATAACACTCATTTCCATTCTGGAAGTGGGCATGTCTCTTGGCATTAAAATACATTTTCAATATGTTAATGATTTGATGTCTTCTTTTCTTTAAATCATGTGTGACAGCTCTACATTAAAAAGAAAATGTAATTTTAAATGAGATGTTCTCACAGAAGGAAAACTGAAGATTCTAATACACCTTAAACACTAATCATATAAAACTTAGTATTTCACACAAATATAAAAACTAAACATGATGACAGCAATGGAAGGCTTCAGATGTACATGCATGTGTACACATGTGCAGGGCACATTAATTGGCATCATAGGGACTAAACTCCAGTTTAAATTCCAATTTTGAAACCTTTACAATACTGTATGTGAGATCCTTAAGCAAAGCACACAATTTTAATTTTGTTTGTGCTGACATTACCATTGTTACTGATACCACTAAGTACTTAAAGCTGCTATTAACATTGCTATCCCTTTAAGATATGAATCCAGTTTTAGTCAGGGTGTGTACTGGGACAGAATGGCCACAAACTGCCATGCTTCTGTGCAATTTTTGCCATCGTGTTGTTATTTCTTACTTCCAGTGGCTACTCAGAATTCCACCAGGGAAAAGAAGGATCACTGTTTCTAATCTGCCATGAGAAGAGGGGCTAGCACGGAAAACAGGGGCAAACGCTCTAAGTAAGAGTGCACAGGGCTCCCCGTGGGAACCATGTGCAAGGAAAGGGAAACACTGGACAGGCCCTGAGACAATGAGAGCCGCGGGAGAGCTCAGGACAATGCCTTCCTCTCCATCATCCCTCAGGTTTCTTTGCTCTTACACACAGTCTGTGGCTGTACCATTTAGTGCATGGACTTTAATGCTGATTTTGGCTACTTAAGATTTGCTTTAGCTTTTTTTTCCTCTTAAAAATCCAGTTTGTGTTACTTAGCAATGAAACAGGTGGATGAGATGAGACCACAAACATTCGTCTAAATCATGATCATGAGGCTGACTGCTATGACGAGTACAGCCCAAGTTACTGTGCATTCCCATCTCAGACTCTTCTGAAAGCTATCAAAGAACACACTCAACTCAGAAACCACACTGTGATAATACCATATCAAATACCTCAAAAATGTACTTAATCAAGAAAAATACAACATCTAATCTCTATATTAAAAAGAATCATGTACAACAGATTTTTAAAAATGAAGTTTTCATGGATTTCTGCTTCTGGGATGTTGGTTTCTCACAGGCAAGTGAGAAAACTGCAGACTACACTTCAGGTTCTTGGGATTTACTGGAATTTTCTCCTACCTTTGTTCAACTGTACCGGCATGCTTTCAGATTTCATCAGTCGCTGCTGCTGCTGTTGCTGTTGCTGCTGCTGCTGCACACGGTGCCTTGGGGCTTCTTCGGAGGCTCTGGAGGAGACGGCAGCAGAGAAAGAGCTGCCGCTGTTGCTGCCAGGGACAGGGCCACCCATACCGCCCGGAGCCGGGGCTGGGGAAATCAACTTTCTTCCAAAGTTAATCAGGCTGCTGGAGACCTTGTGTATATTCAGAGGGGCACCTCTGGTATTGGTCCTTTGAGATGAAAAAGAGAAAAACCAAATGAAGTGGGAAAACATTATTCAAATTGGAGGATAATGCTACTTCACATATTCCACTGGAATAAAAACTTGCCTAACCTTGAAATAGGCTGTTTACTAAATTAGAAGTGAAGGATGTAAAGAAATGCAGACTTAATGTGAGCACAAAATAGTAATGTGGCTCATGGAAAATGAATCTCATCGTTTCTTCCTTCCATAGGGCGCATTATGTGCCAACACTGTGCTAGTTTCTAAGAGTGCAGCTGCCCACACAGACAGATGTCTACCCGTGGAGATTCTGGTTAAAAAGAAATATTTGTTAGCTTGGATTTCTTAGTTGAAACAGAATACCTGACTTAGTAACTTAAGAAGAGGGGAAATTAGGACATAGGAAGGGAAAAATAGCCCTTTGCTCTAGAGCCTGTCTGATGCCTCCAGCTAGCTAAGAATCAAGGACTCACACCGTTTGCTTAGCAGTTCTCTTTTCTTAACTATAACTCCATAATTTTCTAGTAATTTCACCAGAAACCCCTTGTACAGCCCCAGTGGCTCCTGATTTTACTTTATCCAAAGCATCTCTATAGCCACTTATAATTCATTTGTCACACACAGACAGGATAGATAGGAAGTTTCTTACAGTCTTTTGAGATATAATGTGAGAACTACCAACATAGTGTGTATGGCTAATGCTGAGACTCTTAATTACAACTCTCCCTTTGCAAGCTCATGCCCTACCCTTGGGAGTATCTTTGCTTCTTCACCATCCTCTTAAATGTGCACCACACATGTCTTTTAATAAACCGCTATTCTTCTTTGAGAAGCCCCACCCATATTCCGAGGCATGTGTTTCTTTCCAAGTGCCTGTGTACATTACCTCTTATCACTGAACTTAAAATGTACATGGAAATCTCTTTTTTAATAGACCCCAACTCCATTCCATACTGCCTTATCCTAATGTTCTTTTCTTGGCTGAATACAAACATCCAGGTTTACATGACTTGAGACCTCTAAAATTAAGGCTGCTGAAGTTGACAGTGTGGAGCTGTAATACTTCTGTCCTTGCCACCACTGACCTGAAGACAGATTTATTTTGGCTCAGGATTTATTTAAGTCAGCAGGTAGCTGGTTCAATTCCTTTGAGACTCAAGGCAAGCCAGAGTCAGTCACTATGGTTGTGAGTATACTGTAGACAGAGCTGTTGACTTCATGGAAGGTAGTGTAGTGATATATTATTTATGACTTAGCAAAGCTTGCCTGAGGATTCATAGAAGCTAGGCACACACCTTTAATCCTGGGACGCAGGATTAAGAGGGAGATGTATCTCTGTGAGTCCAAGGCCAACCAGGTCTACACAAGATTGAATCAGTCTAAAAGAGAATTATAGCTCACACCAGGACTCATGAGAGGTATATAAATCAGTATCAGGCATTCAGTAGGAGATATTCAGTCTCCAGCCACACTGAGGAGAAGTTGGTGGGTCAGCCCTTTCAGCCCGAGGTAGAGGTAAAGATTAGTGGCCGGCTGCTTTGCTTTTCTGACTTTCAGCTTGAGGTTTGAACCCCAATATCTGTCTCTGGGTCTTTTATTTATTGTGCTACAAAGTAGAAAAACAGAGACATGAAGGGTCAGGCAAGCAACTCCTAATAATCTCTTCTCTAACAATGTGTTACTTCCTACTTTCTATTATCTCCCAATAATGTTATCATTTAGGAATCTATGAGTGATGATTACACTGAATATCTCAGAGTGCCCATGATACAATTAAATCTCAATGGATGGATACACCAGTTAAGGATCAAGCTAGACACATGAAGCTTTTTGGGGGAATATTTTATATTCAAACCATATTAATATAAAAACCACATAAATATGCATATGATTTAAAACCTGCACCAAAGATCCAAAAGTTCTTTCTTGCTGTATCCACCACCGAGTAGGTACCAACCCCGTAATCACCCATACCTCCACAGTCTCCTATCTCACACTATCTTTGTTGCCTTCCATGTTTGCCAGTAGTCACCTCAGGGTTATTATCCTGAAGACTAGTTACGGTCATAAACTGTTTTAGCTGTAGGAGGTAGTCTAACCCCATGACAATACCAAAGTGTTTATTTTTACTTCTCAAATCATTAGTAGACAGTCTCTTCTCAGAAAAGTACAAACGGGTTTATTAGATTTTAGTTACCTTGCTGTTTCCTTCTCCCAGATCTACTTGGGAGCACTTTTAAAGCATTTCTCATTTTCATATGGCAGCTATATGCTTGGCATTACTAACTGTCACTCTTAAACAGAACCCATCTATAGTTCTATAATAAAAAGGAAACACCACCATGCTTCTTCCTTCCATAAAGTTTTCTCTAATGGCGCTAGCTAATGTTATGAGCTAGATACTGGAGGGATTACATTGCATTGCAGAAGGACTAAGCAGACTTAAAGGGGTTATAAAAGAAGATTTATTTACTTATAATTCAATGCAGTGTAAAAACAATTTAATACAATTAATTCAATATCCCTTTTGTATCAAGTTTCGTATTTGTGGAATTAAGCTACTTAATGCTTTACCAGACATTTTGTTTAAAGTGTGTCCTAGCAGAAGTAAGGTTATACAGTGCTTAGCATCACTTGCTCTTCAGCTTTTACTACCTTCCCAATGAAGCAGGACATACGCAAGAGAAGGCTCTCAATCCATGTTTACTGAATAAAAACAATGGCTGGAATAAAAAGGACTCATCAATTCCAGGCTGATGAGGTAGTCACCTCTGCTACTGTCACTCAGAAGCTTGCACACACGCCTACGTGAGTGGCAGCAAAAAGATGGCTGCCACATTCAGCTGCAGTTCAGCCTCGCTGTGTGCAAATCAAGACCCATAATTCAAAGATATGAAGAAGTTTATAATGCTGTTACCCCTTTATATAAACAAAAATGTACTAGTCAAATTCCCATATTGCCACTTGTGAAATTTATATGTTGATACAAGTACCAAGAAACAGCTACAGCATTATCAAGAGAGTGTGGTTAATGTACCGTCATTACTACTAATAACCACAAAAACATATAGATCAACCTTGTGCTTAGAGATTTTTCTTTTCATGTGAATAGCTTTTAAAAAGAGATGAACTTCTCTTTAAAATGTTTTTGTCTTTTTAAAAAACATACTCTTCATCTATTACTCACAACTTCTAGAAGCATATTTTCTTTATAAAACAAGGCTTGAAGGTGAGTGTTTTTAAGATGTAAGCAACAGCAAATCATGTACTTCCAGGAAAAGCCTGTTTTTCGTGGTTGTTTTTCAAGCATGGCAGGTTTTACATCAAAGTTATTCAGTTTAGTGCTGAATAAAGTAGCAATGTCTTTCACCTGACAGAATAAATCCTGCCACAGTACTAGTCAGGGGCATTACCACAGTTGTCACTGGCAACGTAAGGGAATGGACAGGGTTGGAAGGAACTGCCCAAGGAATCAATCTGGGGTTAACAAGACACCAAATAAGCAAACCCATGTGACTGAAGTCTCCATGGCCACCGTCCACTGTTAGAAGACTGCACAACACAGGACAGATTTAAAACAGTGCCGAGAACGTAGACCATTGGCGTTTGTGAGCAGCATGGGAATTTTCTGGAGAAATGAGAATCGCTCTGAAATATTCGCATCGTACTTCAGCTGACTGGGCTATTCTGGGACTCCTTTTGCTCAGCTCCAGTGACTCTGGAATTGGCTGACTGGGGCTGCCTTTCCGAACCCCCCATTTCCCAATCAGCTTAAAGAGCTCTAGAGTCTTCTTCTACTTCAGAGTCATGGGTCACTTTCACCCAACTTCTAAAGCTTTTCTGAAGCTTTAAACAAAACCTGTGCTCTCCCTAATATACACAAACAAAACCCTAAAAAAGACCCCCAAAGCCAACAAAATGTGTTTATTGCAGTAACTATAGTACAATTTTCTCAGATTCTTGTCTATATTTTTAAGAGATTCATTTTCAATTATTTTAAAAGTATTCCCCTCCCATGCACTCTGACCTACAATCTCTTGTTACTTCTTTCTACTGTTTCTTTCCCCAAGGTTGAATGCTTGGTTTGTTCATTCAGTTGTTCATTTACTTATTCATTCTTCATTCTCTGTCTTTCCAGTAATAACACTTAATGGTATATATTTTCATCTGATTATATTTCCACTCTCACTTTTCTTAAGTCTATTGACACAATTGTTGTATAGATACATTTTACATTTTTCAAATGGCTATCATGTTTATTGTTATTTTTGAGTAAAAATAGAAACATCAGAAGAATTAAGCATGAAAATATTCTAGCTTTTAAAAAGTATTACAGAACTACAAATTAGAAAATGGATTGATGTAGATAACTTTAAAGTTTTTTGCTAATTAGTTGGGCCTGGATAGAGTTTAAATAGTCACTATGGTTCACTAAATGTTACATTAGGGCCAGTGAGATGGCTTAGTGGTTTAATGGACTGACTGTTCTTCTAGAGGATCCAGGTTCAATTCCCAGCACCCACACGGTGGCTTATAACCATCTAAATCCAGTCCCCGGGGATCTGACATCCTCTTTTGTCCTCTACAGGAACCAGCCACACATGTGGTACAGACAAAATGCACAGAAAACACCATACACATGCAATAAAATTTAAAAATTAAAAACATTAAACATCAAAACCTCTAAACTGCCAGTCAACAAATGGGGTAAGAAATGAACAGACAGTTCTCAAAAAAGAAACACAAATGGTCAATAAATATTTTTCAAAGTATTCAGCATCTCTAGTTATCAGGGAAATGCAAATAAAACTACTTTGAGATACTAGCTCACCTCAGTCAGAATGGCATTACCAGAGATCTGACAGCCAATAGTGGCAGAATGCAGACTAGGACAATCATTATGGAAGTCAGTGTAGAGTATCAGTATATAATTTTCTCTTTTTTTGGAAGTCTTTTAAAATTTATTTAATTTAGAAGCAATCTTATTTTACATATCAATCCCAGTTC